CCTCCTCCCTCCTCCCCATCCCTCGTCCCCTCGACCCCTCTACCCACCCACCCACCCACCGCCATTCGCTTTCTCACTCTTACTCTCAATACGCATCATCAGAAATGCCTGGACTGCCTATCATTTGTTTAAAACAGAGTCCCGCCTAACGATTAGAGATACGTTAAATACTTATTAGTCTCGGGTATGTTTAATTTCAACGAGGTAACTGGAAAATGATATACCGAATGGTGATGGTGGTAGATTTTTTTTATTCGATATTCGTGTGCAGCACCGGAAATGGCATAGGCACGGACACTTTACCCTCGGAGTTCCTCCGATTAGATATGAACACCGTGTATTTCTTCTTTACTATATAAATATATTATAAGTTTAGTTTAAGGATCTACGTTTTATGTAGCTCAAGTGAAATATAATTTTGTTCACTTTATAAAAAATGTACGCGGCTGAATACGGATAATCTGAATGCATGTAATTCGCAATATAGACATTGATTAGAATTAGTGCCAAAGTTTATTCTTTCTGAAAAACTGATGACAATATATATTCGATGTATGTCTATTATGATATATAAAATTTTGTAAAAATAATTTCAACGTGCATACATGTATTTGTGCTTATCTGCATATATGTCAGTTAATTAATATAGATTAATTATGAAATTACAATTGTATCGTTTGAAATATATTTCCTCATAAAAATAAATAATCCATCTATTTATTTGTTATTTAAACTTATGTAAAACACGTTGAGTCGATATACTGATTATAATTGTAAATGTTTAAAAAATCTGTTTCAATCACATTTGAACTGTGTTATTAGAGTTTGATATTAGGATCCAAAGTAAATTCGCCAACCTTTTCAACCTGTCTTTGGTAATTGAGATACTTTATTAAACCGTACATAGAGTCTTATTATATAATTCATTGTTAAAATTCATAAACAGCAGTAAAAATGTCTGAAGTAATAATAAAATGATATAATAAATTTTCTTTATAAATATGAAATAAAAATCAAATAATTCGTAGCTGGGATTACTTGCTTACGTATGAAATAAATTATTCTGATTCTTAATTTTATTTTTAAAATGTCTTACATATCTTTCTTTCTGTAAATATTGGTGCACGCACGCACGCACGCACGCACGCACGCACGCACGCACGCGCGCACGCGCGCACAGCGAGTCTTAAATTCGATGTCAATAATTTAATCGGCTACTAATAGTAGTAATTTAAATTAGCTTGTATAATATAACTATTTCTTGAGCATCTAAGCGCATAACATAAAACACCTTCAATATTCTATGATAATCGATTTTATTAGCACTTTAGATCTCTTGATTAAGATTTTCTTTTTCTAATTAATTAATGCTATGATGGAAATGTGCACTAAATACGGTAGCGTATTTTCCATTATATGCACCCACGACTACATATTACCCATGATTACGAGTGGTTACGTATGCGTGGGAAGAGTAGCGCAGCGTAAAGGGAAGTGAGAAAGTTACATTATAAACAAGTTAATCGCGATCGAGGAGAAGTCGAGAATTGACGGCAGGAATCGGATGACTAGACACTATTTTCGTTATATCGCATGCAAAGCTGAAGAAAGCGACCGATAGAATGTAACGAGATTGTCTACTGGTTTGAATTTTGTATATGCGCGTTAGCGAATTATTAAGTATCTAGTGAAATGTTGACGATTATCGTTAATTTTACGATGTCACGGTCACAATAGACATTCTTTGACATAAAATCATCTCTTTTCATGGCATCAAATTCAAGCAATAAAATTTTTATTTTCTTCTGCCAATAATCGCCATTTTCTTTATTCTCTTCGACTCAATTAAAGGATAATGAAAGTACGTTTATGATGTTATTTAATTGAAATATAATATTAGTTAATATACAAGGGGACTAGAAAAGTTTTTACATTTAGTTGGTATGGGCTCCGGTATAGTGAAAAATAAAGAAATTTCTTTAAAAATTATTAAGATGATTAAGCGTGCGTTATTCTTCAGGGCAACTTAGTGATGATATTTTCAATTGATGAAATAATAAGATCCGAATTTTTTTTCATTTAAATCTTCCGGTCTCGATTATATACCAGAAGCAGGTTCGACTGCTGCATGATCGTCAACTGGTCCAAGTGTCACTTTGTCATTGACTTTTTTTCCACACTTACTTCCTTCGCTCTTGCCGTTCCTTCGCGATTTTAAAATGAGGAATAATCTTTTTATGTTCAAACCTTATTCATAATATCGCCTCGACAATTTGCAAGATTTATGAGGTCTTTTTTCTCTCTTTTTATCTTTTTTTTTCGTTTTTTTTTTGTTTTTTTTTTGTTTTTTTTTGTTTCTTTGTTTTTTGTTTTGTTGCTTTTTATTTTGTTGCTTTTTATATTGTTCTATTTTTGACGTGAATATAAAAATTAATATCCTTTCGTAGTTAAATATTTCAGCCTCTATGGCTACGAATTTCATAAATCATAACCGCCTGTTGAACATGAATTTTAGAGGCTTCCAAGTGCACAATAAAAGTGTTGTTACTTACCTTACCATTTCATTTCTCGTCTTTTATAGATTATTATGAACCGTATTCTTATTCTTTTATAGACTCGAATAACATTCCTAACAGGATAACGGATATTTTATTAAACAATAATCATTTATTACTGTAATTATATCACGTATACTAATTTTTACTGGTATAATTATTATTATGTAATAAGTCTTGTAGCCAATTGTACAAATGTTTTTAATTGAATGAATGGCATTTTAATTTAATCCATAATAGATCGTTAACAAATTTTACTATCTTATATACTGTGTGGTATTGATATTTTAAAATTTTTCGATATATCATTTTCAATGCCGCTAAATTAAAGTCCTTACGTATAATTATATTTTTTTTTTATCATCGCAAACCTTCCCCAGGGCTTCCAACATTCCGATGAAATTTTGTACGTATAATATTACATACCGCAATTTCTTAACTATTGGAGTGTATAATTATTTCTTAGAATTTGGAGATATTTGGATTATTATTTACTTGTAGTTTTCTTCATGTAACGTGTACTACGGTATTTAATACAATAACATTGCACGCATGCTCGCGCCACCCCCCCCCCCCATCTCCTCGCCCCTTGCCCCGCGCCACTCGTCACTTACTGCTCAAAACACACAGTAATCTAATGTCACATGTCACGTTGTATCGAAATTTTCACTGCACAAAATGCACATTACGAGCATTGCAAGAATTATTCTCCATCTCAACTAACTCTTTAAACTATTTTCGTTATCGATACTTGCAAAGCAAGAGCGTAAGTTTCGCGAAATAATTAAACCTTACCAAGAGCATAAAACTAATATAAATTGTGTAAATGTGTGTACGAGGGCAGAGATAACGGCCACGTGAGTGAGTAACAACTTGTCGAGTTAATGCCCGAGCGTTAAGGCAAGACACGGGGACTGACGCGTGAACGGGAGCGACAAATCGCCTACCATCTATTAAACAACAAAGACATGCGACAATAACCAAATGGCCATTAAAATCAATGAGCCCGCAGCTTAAGTTGTAATTAAATTAATCCGTGACTCCGTTGTTACAGGTCGGCCCTGCAGACGCTCCACAAGGTTTCCAGCAAGGCGCGCGAGCAGAATTACTTCCTCGGCGGATTGTCGCACGACTGGGTCAGCTACTATGAGCAGAGAATCGAAAGCGATCGCTCGTGCCTCAACGAGTGGCACGCGATGGATAATCTTGAGTCCCGGAGGCCTCCATCACCGGACAGCGTGCGAAACAAGTGAGCGCTAATATTAATAATGCAACTGCGTCGTTTCGACCGAATGAGATATCAAAAAGCAGCAGCCGGCATTTGCTCGGCTCTTGACGGGCGGCTTTACTGTTCCACCCCCCCCCCCCGTCCCCGCCTCCCCACCTCCCCACCTCCCTCCCTCCCAATGCATAATAATCATGCCTTCCTCCGGCGACTTCCTGTCAACGAGTTGGAGGACAACGAGGCGTTCGACAGGTCGGTGTCTTTCGTCGATCAGATCGATCGCAAGGCTGAGTAGATGACAATGCGGTTTCATCATTTACATCGAAACGTCTCGCACAATCTTTAACTACTTTGAGAAAACGAGGTGACAGCACGTGGAAAAGCCTTTTCCGAATGGAGTCTGGCCATGTGCCAGACCCGCGTGGTTCGTCGTGCGCGGCCGAGTCGACTCCTCGTGTCCCCTCATCGCGCGTATCTTTATAGTAGCCGTCCTTGCAATTATTTCGAGGCTTCTACGTGTTACGTCGACCTCCCGTCCGAGTCTCACAAAAACTTTTCACGAGTTTCCACTTTCGCCACCTGCCACTACTATATTTTCATTGTCTTAACGTCGCCTATCCTCGTAATTCCAATCCGAGCATCATTCCCGATTGATCAATTTGCATCAGATTTTTTTTTTTATGTTTTAAGCGTTTAGCACCACTTTTTTTGTCTGTTTAGTAAATTATACGATCGTTTCATAAGTGGCTGGCAATATTCTGATATAAGCATCTGATTAATTCGAAATGTACTTAAGCGTGATTTAAACTTTGTCTTGTTTACGAAACGAAGCTGTTGCGGTTCTTGCTCTTATGGATCGTTTCGATTTTTAAGCGCGACAAAAGTTAAATGCCTCCAGTATCGCATACGATGTTGTTTTACGTTATATTTATTGCTAAGACGGTAATTGGTATTTAGGCCCAGGGAGAGAGACGAAACTGAGCGAGTAATACGGGCAACTCTTAAAGAGATTATGATGTCCGTCGATCTTGACGAGGTCACGTCCAAGTACATCAGGGGACGACTCGAAGAGGACCTCGACATGGATTTGGTCGAATTCAAGCCGTTCATCGACCAAGAGATGCTCATTATTCTGGGACAGATGGACGCACCGACTGAGATATTTGATCATGTGTACCTCGGTAGCGAGTGGAATGCCAGCAATTTGGAAGAATTACAAAAAAACGGGTACGTCAATTATTGAACAAATCTATTTTATTTTTATTTTTGCTTTAATTTTCGTGTTTGTTTTGCTTTTTTCTTGAACGAAAAACAAAAAAAGAAAACAAAAAAAAAACAAAAAAAAAAAACACAAAGAAAAAGAAAAAAAATACATAGATTACAGTGTTATTAAATGCCATTATAATGTATTTAAAATATTTAGGCTTTAACTATGCATACATAAATATCGAAGGACTAATTTTTGTATTTTGTTCTATATTATTCGCTAATGTTGAAAACGATTAGGCACAAAACTTATGCCATTCGGGACTCGACTTACCGATACATTATTCACACGGTAAATGTTTATGCTCTTTAGCTTTTGAAAGCACTTGCTAATTCTACAAAATCAAAAACAAAGCTCGACGTTGACTATTCATATTTTCACGTGACGTTTAATACGAAGTCATTTTCATTATTTATAGCTACGTGCGAATCAAAGATACCACGAGACGAATAGTATTTACTTATCAGCTACTGTAATACAATATTGTAAATTATGATAAACAGCCGACTAATTGTAGCAATATTTAAAAGCTTTTAGAGGTCCAATTTTGACAAATAAATAGCAAGTTAAACGATAATGTTATTAGCATTACAAGAGATTAATCGAATAAACGATGAAAATTATCATTATTATTATTATTATTATTATTATTTTATAAGTAATAGCACGAATCTCGATAAATTATTATTGTTTGCGCAAATTTTACAAATACTTTCGACATGATATTGAAATTCAAAGTTTTAAAAGTCTTAATGTCGAGTTTAATCGAGCGTGAGCCTTGGGATTTATCGTACCAAAGTAATATGAATTTAACAAGATTTTCAAACTGCTATTATGAATTTAATGAAATTTCCCAACATTCGTCTCGCCTAAAGGCATTCTCTACTTCGAATCTTGCTTGTGTTATTAATATTTTTCATACTCAATGCGTAGTGAACAAAAACGTTTGCCGATATAAAGAAAAACGAAAACAAAAAAAAATTTCCTATATTTGAGAATATCAATATATGTCATTATGTATACATATTATTATGTATGTACATACAGTTATACGCACGCACGCGCGGACATAAGTACATGTGTGTAGCTTTATTTGAAAACGCATGAAATGCATTATAAGCAATGTTTAATGTAAATTGTAAGTAGAAGGCGACCGTGACTGGGGGGGGGGGGAGTCGAGCTAATGGAATAAGAAGTATTAACGAGCGTCATCGCATGGTTTTTTTTTCAGAGTGCGGCACATATTGAATGTGACCCGCGAGATCGACAACTTCTTCCCGGGCATGTTCAACTACCTGAATGTGCGGGTATACGATGACGAGAAGACGGACCTTCTCAAGCACTGGGACGACACCTTCAAGTACATAACCAAAGCTAAGAAAGAGGGCTCGAAGGTCCTGGTGCACTGCAAGATGGGCGTCTCGCGCTCGGCTTCGGTCGTCATTGCTTACGCCATGAAGGCCTACAACTGGGACTTCTCCCAGGCCCTCAGGCACGTGAAAAACAAGCGCAACTGCATCAAACCGAACAACAGCTTCCTGCTGCAACTGGAGACGTACCAGGGCATACTCGACGCCATGAAGAACAAGGAGAAACTGCAGAGGTCTAAATCGGACACGAATCTCAAGTCGCCGACGATGACGGCCAAGGACCGGACGAAGGAGGAGAAGCAGGAGAGGGAGGACGGGAACGGCTGCGGTCTCGTCGAGCAGTCGGGCCTCGAGCTCAAGAAGAGTGGCCAGAGGCCCAAGAGCTGGTCGCCCAACGTCGAGATTACCGAGGACGTACTTCCTACCGGTAATCCTGTTAATAATTACGTTTGCTCGTCTCATCCCACCTACCCACCCCCAGCCCTCCTCGTTATTCTTTTCCAGCTGGTGTGCATTTCTTTCGTCGTATACTCTGCAGGTGAAGCGTAACGTCGACAACTTATATGTGGAGAATAGAGCTAGAAGAGTATGATTTTATTTTTAGTACGGAAAGCACGCGACTCAATCGTCATTGACATACTTCAAGAAATTCCTTTTAACCTACATGTTGGATTAATGTGTTTTAGAGTCGCGCTACGATGGTGGCCATTGTTTTATTACATTTCTTCGCGCCGATGATGAGAGTAATGAAGGACTAATTTTTTGCTCTAATAATGTTCGGGAAATTATATCTAATACAATTACAGCAATAATATAGTTTCAAAATTCTCTAATAGTAGGGTTTTTTAAAATTAATATACATATTGCGAGCGATCTAATTATAAGCAAATTAGAATTTCAATTTTCATCCTAAAATCAAATAAACCGTAGAAATAAATAGATAAAGTAATAGTAATGATATTCGCATTTGAATGTATTGTCTTGGGGAATAAAATTTAAGAGAAAGGAATTCAAGGCCAATGCATTTGGAATATTTTCTTTCAAAATATTCATTACCAATCGCATACAAACAATTTCATGTATTTAATTTTTCGCAAAGTACGAGTTTCCAATCTATTAAAGAGCAATATTTAAAAAATATCAAATAAGTAGTCTAAATGCCGCTCGTATTGCAGTTCCGCTGTCGCAGTCATTGGAGAGCATCGACAAGTCGGCGAATCCGGAAGTGACGCGCGAGGATCTCCTGCGCGGCTCAAATCCAAAAGGCTGCAGTAACGGGGGCTGCCCGGTGGGCCAACAAGAGTCCCGAAACGTTCTGATGCCCTGCGACAATGGCCAATCTTACAGCGTCTCCCAGAATCAGATCGTCCATTTGCCGGGACCGGAGAGCACGGGGACACAGATCTGCGCATCGGCCACCTGCAAGCACAGGCCCGAGAGCCAGGGCCAGAAGCGCAAGGGGCTCGTCCTTAACCTCACGAACCAATTTGAAGCAGCTAGTAGCAAGCCTTCGTCCCCGAGCTCCTCTGACGGCGAAGGCAGCAAGTCCGCTCATCATCCTCATCATCATCCTCAGCAGTATCCTCAGCAGCAACAGCAGCAGCAGCAGCAGCAGCAGCAGCAAGAGCAACAGCAACATTATCGTCATCATCATCACCATCATCATCACCATCATCACCATCATCACCACCACCATCAACAGCAGCAGCAGCAGCAGCAGCAGCAGCAACAACAACAACTACAACAACAACAACAACAACAACAACAACAGCCGCAACAACAGCAGCCCGATAGCAGCACCATCCTGGAGAACGGCTGCTGCGCGCACGAGGCCGTACCTGCAGAGCTCGCCGATGGTGTTCTCCAAGGCAGTCCTGGTAAGGTGGCCGCTAGTTGCGCGCCTCGACCTCAGCCCTCGTTTTCCGTTTGCCATCCTTCGCTGTCGCTTTAAAAGCTATCCAGTTGCTATAGATTTCCGGTACTAACGCCATTGTCGCCAATGATTAAGAGAGTGAATCGTTGATGCATTACGTCAGCAAATATTTTGTTAAATATAGCCGAAAGGTTAGACTATTGATTTCACTTTATGATTTACGATCGTCTTTACTTACGTACAGCAAAGCTTAATCATCGAATAAATTGAATATGTGCCTTACGCTCAATTAGTACAAGGCTTTCGTGAAATAATAAACGACTAATGCCGTACATTATCATGGGAATTGATGAACAATTGCATTTGTTGGATTGAAAAGGGACGAGAAAATCCGTTGGCGGTGAGCTCGCGATCGCGCAGCCACGCAATTAAGCACATTGCATGTGTTATATAGTGTGGGTACGGATTGTTTCAATCAATTGTTGTAAATCCTCAGAAAGGAATGGTGAATGTCTAGTCTGGACCGCATCCACGAAGGTTAAGTGCATCCACGCAAGCGACGTCAAGAGGCGCGAAAGCCTCGATCTAAGTGCCGATGTCGAAACGACGACGTCATCGACGACCGCGGTGACGAGCCACTCGGGTCGTAAACCAAATAGGGATGGCGACCCCTTCAGCGCGCAGCTCGATAGAGTCTTCGACAGGGAGGAGAGGCGGGAGCTCCAACCCGTGGTCAGGGAGTCACCGAGTAGGCAGAGCTCCTGGAGCAGCTACGACAGCGCCGTCATCATGGATAACAACTCGGTGCACAGTTCCTGGGCCACGTTACCATCGCGCAATAGTTCCTGGGGCTCCTACGACATGAGGCCCGTCGACTCCTTGGGCTCGAGCAGAGATACCTTGGCACCCGGGCACTGTTAAACGCACGAAGCAGAAGCTCGAGGAGAGCTCGACGACCGGTACGGAGTTGAGACTTACCGAGTGGCATTATCATTGTCCGTCCGTTCCTAAGCAAACTCGCTGTGCCGATTAAGTTTGTCCTCGTATCGATGGGCATAACGCAAGTAAAATGAAACGAAAATTTAGATGGAACGTGATTGATTTGTTGTTGGATAAAAGGACGAGCGTTTGTTCGAGGATATCGATTCGAATATAAATTGTCGGTCGGCATTCAAAATTCTTTCTAATCAACGTCGTAGAGTGCCACGGATTTTTCGTCCCAACCACTTGCAAAATCATCGATTTATTCGATTTAGTCGTTCAATTCAATGCCTAGTATTAACGAATCGTCATGATTTTTAATTTCTATCGACAAATGTCTGTATGAAACTCCGTGTCCGACATTTTCAAGGCAATTTAAATTCAATCGATAATAATGAAGTGATTGGGTTGAAAATAAATGGGAATGCAGGGAGGAGGGAGTATATTGTATGGGAGAGTAGGTATGGCTCGGAAAGTAATTTGTACCTTACGTACAATTGTCAAAATTAATATCTCTATTTCGTAACATTTATCATTGAGCTTGGATTTTACGTTAAGATTGTAATTTAAATTCAAATTGACAGGGGAATGCAATTTTACGACCACCGCACGATCGAATACTCCTACCGAACAGCAACATACGATACTCGAGCGATAAATAAATATTCTAAATATTCCACTACAAACATTAAATTATTACAAATATATATATATATATATATATATATATATATATATATATATATTACACTATATACAGCATTATATGCAGTCGCTCACGTGCAATTAAAAAACAAAAAAGTAGAGCCAAAAAAAACAACAACAACAGCAATAAATAGAGCAGTTTCGTAATGGCTAAGGAAGGTTTTGCGTTCTCCTTAGTTCCGAGTTACGCTTCATTGCATTTATTTAAAAATTCTATTCCCGTAAAAGATCATCGATTGAAATAAAATCGAGCTAACGATGAACGTGTGAAATTTGCGCGTCGAGGAAACGAAAATAGGATAGAGAGGATAGAAGAGATTTCGGAGACGAGTAAAAATCGCGATCGTTGCACTTGTACGAATAAGAGAAGAAAGTCGTGATCGACGGGGAAGGCAACTTGACGAAGGTAGGAACCTAATGACATTATCTCGTCTAATTACAGGCATATCGAAGAGAGTATGCACGCAGACGTCCGAGTCAGCTGTCGAGGAGAAAACGTCGTCGGAGAGACTTTCGACTTCGGAGCCCGAGGTTGACAACCCCACGGAAGCGTACAACCCGCTCCTCGGACAACACTACGCGACCTCGCCGATGCCAAGGCGCAGGGATCCCTCTCCGGCTGCCCCCATCGACATCTCGGCCTTCTCCTCGCGGCAGCTCGCAACCTCGAGCCGACTGTCGACGAGCGCCCCCGCGCCCTCCTCCCTCGCCGGGGATGGGGAGCTCGTGCCTCTGGCGCTGCGCAGCTGCAAGTCCGAGAGCGAAACCTCGAGTCCCTGCGTCGTCAAGACGCCCCAGTGTCCCTCGGTAAAGCATCACAAGATGGTCCTCGAGAGCCTCTGCAACAAACCCGCGGCCAGTAGGAACGACTCGCCCGAGTCCGAGAGCCCTCTCCGCGGCACCTCCGGCATCGTCAAGAATCTCAAAAAGGAATTCGAGGCCAAGTCGTCGAGCAGGCCCGAGTCGGAAAGCGGCCAGGAGAGCGGCCCCGGAGCAGCTTCGCCACAGGGCTCGCGCCGCAAGCGAGACGCCAAGATCAGGAGCCTGCCGTCCTCGCCGGTAATAGCGCACAACGACTCGAAGATCCAGGCCTCGACGAGTATGTGCGAGGCGCCGCGCGACTCACGTAGCTGGTCCTTCGCCAAGCGGAGCAGCGAGTCGGGTGCCAACGCCACCCCGGAGCAGCCCAACGACAGCCTCGAGGACCTCTCGGTGAAGGTGCTCGTCGGCAAGTACGAGGTCGCCAAGCCCGAGGCCAGGCGCAATCCGGAGCTGCAGTTCCGGCTGGGGCACCAGCAGCCCATCCACAGGGACCGATCTGAGCACTCGGTGGAGCACCCGCCGGCGAGATCGAGGATCGCCCCGGAGCTCGCGAGGCGCTCCGCTCCCCTGATAATCGGCCAGCATGGCTGCGGCTCCCTCTTCGACTCATCGGCGACGGCGGAGGCGCCGGGACGGCCGCCTTCCGTGCCCTCGCCCAGTCAACTAGTGGCGAGCGTCGTTGCCAAAGCTGCGAGCAAGAAGCAACAGCAGCAGCAACAGCAGCAGCAGCAGCAGCAGCAACAACAACAGCAGCAACAGCAGCAACAGCAGCAACAGCAGAAGCAGCAACAGCAACAGCAGCAGCAGCAGCAGCAGCAGCAACAACACGGGAGAACGCATCCGCTGGCGAGGCTGCAGGTCAGACCGAGGCACAACAGTCCCGTGTACAATACAATGTGAGCGGGTCCGAGGACGCACCGGCCGCTTTCGTTTCGAGTAGTGATATCTCACGTTAATGTAATTATCAGCGCGCATTCAAGAGGTTGCGGATTCGTCGGACGAATGATAAATTGTGTGATCTCCTCTAAAATGGACATAAGACTAAGTTATTTTCACGCCCGTAATTATTAGATTATTGTGAGAGGGCCCCGATGTCCTGTGGCCATTTTCATTGATTCGGAGCTCAGGTCCACCGCCTTCCCTATCTACCCGAATTCTCGATTACTTTAAACAATTTTCCACGATTGCATAATTCCTCTCAACGTTTTAATGTTAAAAATGCAAAGAAAAAGTTCGTCAAAGCGTTGTAATGTGAATAATTTACAGGTCGACATATTCTGATCTGAGCTGGAATATAATAAAGGGATGGAGGAATTTGAGGAATGGAGAGGAATGTCGGATAATGAGGGGTTTGGGTAGCGAGGAGGTGGAGTGGAGTGGGGTGGGGTGGGGCGGCAGGTCTGACGGCATCCTTCAAGTCAATGAAAATTGTCGATGCCTGTTGTGAATAGTTCTTCGTTTTAATGGAAAGTGATTGTTTGATATCGACTTGAAATATAGATTTCTCATTTATTTTTTTTTTTCCTTTTTTTTTTCTTCTTCATTCTTTAAATCAATCAATATTGCCAATTAAGTTTAGTGACGAGAAGTAGTAATATAGCATTCATGTGAATTTTTACTGTCTTTTTTGAAAGGCTAGATTTAATAATTGAGTATATTAATGATAATGTAAAGTAAATAAACTTTTTTCACGAGCGAGTCGAATACAATGTGTTGTTAAATCACTCGTATATAGCAAAACAGTTTTACATGCCTACAGTTTTTAGTTAAATTGTCAAAATAATTGGTGCCTTTCACAAATGAAATACAAATAATTTCTGGATAACTATTTTCAAGCTTGAATAAAATTACACTGCCATATTTTACTGATTTTTATCGTGGCAGTCTAATTGTATAATTAAAAATATCATCGATTAAAGTTAACTATGTTAACAAGCTTCAAATGATTTTAAAAGTATTACGCTGAAAATGTGTATAATTTATTACAAATAATTTTACGGTCTACCGAGGAGACCAAAATAGCTGAGAGCATAACGCGAAAAATATTTGCAAATGGTAAAAGTGTAAGCTTGTATAACGAATGAATTAAAACGTTTAATTCCTATATACTGTCGTTTGCTTTCAGTCGCGGAAAAAGTGATGAAGTTAAAGAAAGAAAGACAAAAGCGTGATTCAAGAATTTCGTTCGATCAAAGTAAAAGCGAGTGCTCAGTCAGGCTGTGAATGTAAATGTCTGGGCCTCGCGTCGGTTCAAGTATGTTTTTGTTCTTTGCTTAAAAAAAAAAAAGTCACCTTCAATATTAAATTTAAAAAAAAGAAAAAAGAAAAAAAATCCGTCTGCGATGTCTACTATGCATCATTGACACGTTCAACTACACTATTAGCAATTTATAGTGAGTAATGTGATTGGCGTGAGAGTAATACTGCAAAATAATAATTGAGGCAAAAGAGAAAGATAGAGAGAGAGAGAGAGAGAGAGAGAGAGAGAGAGAGAGAGAGAGAGAGAGAGAGAGAAGGAGAGAGTGTGCATGCGTGCGTGCGTGCGTGCGTGGGTGCGTGGGTGCGTGTGCGTGCGTGCGTGTGCGTGTATTAGGGTATACGCGGAATAATACGAATAAATGATTTTGAATGTGTGCATGATTGCAAGGTAAAGACACATCGAGACTTTAAGAACTTTGAAAATCGTTCGAGTTTATTATAATAATAATCATACTCGATTCATTTGTATGTCCTCGCGTCAATTTAAGCGTATATTTTACAAATAAAATTTTAATCATATATTTAAAAAAATTATTGACTTATTTGTGTTCTTCTTCGTCAAAACAATTTGTTCCTAATCATGACCTTACTTAACAAAAAAAGTTGTACATGATGATTCACATAAACATTTTAGTAACTAGTTTTTTTAAGTATATTCATAAATCCCTAAGCTTTACAAAATAATTCTTTTTTATTAGAAGTGACTCGAGCGAATTTCGGATAACATTACCCAGTCTCTCTAATTGTAATTTAATTATTATAATATCATGCTACTTTTTGTAACGTCATAATTATTGTAACTGTATTATAATTATATGACTGATCGACTTTGTAATAAATAAACGTCGGTTTGTTAGAATTGCTTTTAGAGCTGACGATACTTTTTCTCGTATAGCATTGATGTAAAGCATTTCTCGTTGACGATCAAAGTCCTATCGTCACAAATTCTCAAAAAACCAATAGTACAAGTGCTTATTATAAAAAGTCGAAGGGTGCTAGGCTCATTAAAAAGTAAATCAAAAGAAATAAAAACTTTTACAATCTAGTATCGTCGAAGATATTTTTTCAAAACATATCATCATCGTTGCATCATCATTCTCAAAATCGTTCGGAATAATCGATTCTTTAGTCATAAAGTTTATGTGAGACAAAAAATGAAAAAGGAAACGAATGAATATATCATATTGCAGGAATTTCAGTTTGAAAAAACAATACATAATAATTAACATATGTATGTGTATGTATATGTATGTATATGTATGTATATGTATGTATATGTACATATGTATGTGTATATATATATATATATATATATATATATATATACACATTCACCAAAACGAAACGGCTTAATATTATATAAAATTTATCACATAGTCGCACTTGCGGACCGATGACCAATTTTTTACAGCGACTTGATCCAGCGCTTAGCCACTAATGTAAAGTACTTCGCGAGTACATTTTTTCTCAAGCACATAATAACAATAACTATATTTTATTACTGCGTGTCGTTTAAAACAAAGTAAATATAAAATAAATAATGTCGCAAAGATGAGTGAAAAAATTATTTAGATCTTGATCGTTTAGATATAGAATTTCTGAATAGTATTGATCTTTTTTTTTTTCTTTTTCTTTTGAACAGTAGCTTCGAGAGTAGCCGAGCGTCGCTGTTTAGAGATTAAATCTGAAATCTGTATTTTCTTATTCGTTTATGAGACTGCATGTGAACGTGAAGATACTTCGATTTTGAAGTATTTCTCCTTCACTTGCAGTGGCATTGTTTATTTGAATCATTCAATGTTTATTAAGGCCAAATCTCATTAATTTCACTCAGCAATTTCAATTATCGAGTGACGTTTCTCGAATAAAATAATTTTTTCTATTCAATCAATGTTATGTTTTACAAAAGATCCGATTTTTGTCAACATGCTGTGTATATTGATACAAATATATGTAATTAACTTCGGTTTGAGCTACTATTAATGAATGACGTAATATTGCCAACTGAAATTATCAGTAGAAAAAATCTGAGGCCACTCAACTCTATCCAAATTATCTTCGTAGATTAGAATTGAAAATGTATACAACTTTAGTAGGTGCAATGATGCAGTTGATTAATCGAATTAACAAATTTCACAGAGCATATTTATGAAAATTTTGAAATTTATTTATCCAACATCAAGCACTGTTTTATTAAAATTTAATGAAAAATGCTGTGAAAGTAATATGTGAATAAGAATATAATTAGATAATAATTACTTACTTAAAAGATTTTTTATACTAAATTAAAAGGAAACTAAACTAAACACAAATATCATTCATTGAATTACCAATACTTATTAATGATTGAAAGTAGTGATTTTCATTTTAAAAGCACGAATGACTAATGGAAATTATTTTATCAATTTGAATAACAATTTCATCATCAGTTCATAATAATAAGAATCAGATTTAATAAGTACCAAAATGTGTCATTGTGAACGTGTATAAATGTGTCCCAAGTTAATGAAATGATATATATATATATATATATATATATATATATATAATCATTCTAATAATTGAAAAAATGATTAAAGGTTGTCGCTCAATCTATTGTCTTTCTATTTAAAATTGCAAAATTTATCACAACACTCTCATCGCATAAAATAGAGAAGAAGATTGTGATTAAATATTACATTAATTTAAAACGTTCATTCATATATTTGAATGGGCGTTTAATTTTCAACTTTAAACGATTCATTTTTATAAAAATTAAAAAAAAAGAACAACTGAAAGTCAATATTTTCAATTAATATTATAGGAAATATATATTATTAAACTAAATTTTATTTGAATTACATAATTATTATTTTATTATTCAGCAGCATTTTTCATTCATTGTATTGTTAAGGCGATTTCATAAAATCGATATTGCTTTTAAGACAAATTATTTTACCTCGACAAGCTAAATTGTACACACGTTTTATTGAATTGTATAAATAATATGTTCAATTCTTTAAACAATTTATTAATTAATTATTGCTGATTAAGTGCTTTATTATTATTAAAATAATTTCCTACCTTCGATGTTTGAAAATATAAATTTTCTCTGCTTGTCGCAACGAGCCGTTATATATTTTCGACTAAACATATAATATTTTGATTTTATTAAAAATATATGAACAAAGAGGCAATACAAGCAAACAAAATTGTAGAATCTTGTGAAAATTTAGGAAAATTCATCAAAATAAAAATGTATGGTACATTGAATTCAATAATTATTGGAAAATTTCAGTAAAAATCGTATTTAATGATGAGTTCACAATAAATAAACAAGCTGTAAGATTTAACAAATTTACAACAAATGACTACTATTTATAACTGGCATATATTGATATTAATATCGACGAAGCGATAGTAATATAACAATATAGAATAGATGCGCGATATAAGTTTAAAAATTAACGATCCGACTATTAATTTTACTTTATTCCTTTGTTGATGTTAAAACAGTTCAAGGCATAATAAATTCGATAGAATTCCAAGAAATACTCAAAAACTTGGAAATTGTATTCTCATTGGAAATATGTACGAATGCTCTCTTTTCTTTATCGAACGATTGTGATTGTAAAACTATGCAATTACTATTAAATCAAATTATTTCGTATTATTGCGCATTAATGTGCTCACTTTAGTAATTCTTTATCTTCCACTTTATGTCCCTCTTGCTTAAATGTGTGTCCGTCTTTAATGTGATGGAAAGCTGCATCATGA